CCGCCACTTACGCAGCAGCCGCCGCCAGGCACGCCGATGTCCACTCAGAGCAGCGCCAGCGGCTGGGCTCCGCCCGAGCCAACAGGCCAGTCCCGCCCCCCCACCGGCTTTGGCGCCATGCCCGTCGACACCCCCTCGACCTTCATGTTCGCCGCCGCCCCCACCAGCAGCAGCGGCGGCACGGGCGGCGCGCGGCGGCGCACGTCCTCAGGGCCGCCCATGGGCAAGCGGCTGTTTCAGACGCCGTCCTCTGGAGGCTCCGCCCGCACGCCGCCTTCCCCTGGGCCAACGCCGCCCTCGCCGGCGCCGTTTGCGGGCTTTGGGGCCGCGGCAGAGGCTGCGACGCCGACGTTTGGGGCCCGCGGCGGGGGCGGCGACGAGCGCGCGGGGTCGGAGGCGTCGGACGTGTCTTCGACGTTTTTCGGGGTGCCCCCGGCCGCGCCGCCGCGGCAGCCCTTTGGGGCCGGCGCTCGCGGCTCGCCTCCGGCGCCGCCCGTGCCCATGGCACCGCCGGAACAGCCAGCAGCTGGGGCGGACGCGGAAGCAGCGTTTGCCGGCGGCTTCGGAGCAGGAGGCGGCGGCGGCGCCGGCGCCGCGGCGCCGCAGCGGGGGACGCCGTATTCCGCTTCGCGCCGCAGCCGCTTCCATGCCGCCCGCGGGCGCGCGGGCGGTGCGCCGCCGACGCCGCCGCGGTTCCCCGGCTTTGGTGCGGCGGCCGGCGGCGACGGCCCCGCGACGCCCTCATTCAGCGGCGGCGGCGGTGGTGTGGGTGCGCCGGCGGCGGCGGCCGCGGCGGGCACGCCTGGCAGCGGTGGCAGCACCCAGGCGGGGTACTCACCGATGGCCTGGAGCCCTGTCGGGGACGCGGCCAGCCCTGCTGGGGGTGAGCCTGGTCCGCCGCCCTTTGGGGCGCAGCAACAGCAGCAGCAGGCCCCCCTATTTGGCGGCTTAGGAAGAGGCGCCGCAGCGCCACCACCTCCGCCGGCGCCGATGCAGCAGCAGCAGGGGGAGCAGCAGGCGCCTTTATTCGGCTTCTTCGGCCGGCCCGCCGCGCCGGCGCCCCAGCAGCAGCAGGGGGCGCCTTCCTTTGGGTTCGCCGCGGAACCGCAGCTGCCACAATCGCAGCAGCAGCAGCAGCAGCAGCAGCAGCCCGCACCGGCGGACGTTCTGACTGCACTCCTTGGCGCCATGGGCCTCGCCGCGCCGCCGCCCGCGGGGCGCCCGCTCCCCTCGGACCCGATCGCCGCCGCAGCCGCGGCCGCGGCCGCCGCAGCAGCGGCGGCCAGGGCTGCGGCGGACGACGCGGCTCTTGCTGAGCTTCTGAACGGTGCGCTGCGCCTGCAGCCGGGCGCCAAGCCTGCTTCCGCGGCGGGCGCGGGCGCGGGCGCGGGCGCGTCGGCGTCTGTTGAGGCCGTCCGGTCGCAGGGCACATCGCGGCGCGATGAGTGGGAGCGGCTGCTGCAGGCGGCGCGGGAGCAGCTGCAGGGGCAGCTACGGGACGACGGCGGCGCGGAGGGCGCAGCAGCGGGGCCGCCGCCGCGGCGCGGGGGCGGGGCCGGCGGCGGCGGGGGCACGGGCGGCGGGGAGCCGCTGGCGGCTCTGCTGCGGGATGTGCTATGCCTGAAGCAGCAAGCGGCGTCGGCGGCCGGCGCAGCGGCGGCAGGCGGTTGCTCGATTGATGACCTGTCCGACCTCCTCAGCGCCGTGGGGCTGAGTCAGCAGGGCGAGGGGGCGGCTGCGGGGACTGCAGCGGCGGCAGCAGCGGCGGCGGAGGGCCCTGGGGTGGGCGGCGCTGCTGGTGGAAAGCAGGCCGCGGCGGCCGAGGCGGAGGGGGCCGCGGCTGCGCCGCCCCCAGTGTTCACGTTCTCGAGCCCAGGCGCAAAGACGAGCGGCGGCGCCGCGGCCGGCGCCGCCGCAGCGGCGCAGCAGGGCCAGCGGCCGCAGCCGCCGCCGTTTGGCGGCGCAGAGGGGGCGCCCTCGTTTTCGTTCTCGCTGGGGACGGCGCCGGGCAGGGCGGCCGCCGCGCCGGGCAGCGCCCGCAAGGCGCGGACGCTGCGCTCGGCCGCGAAGCAGCCGAGCCGCCTGGCGGCGGCGCCGGCAGCGCGCGCGACCCCGACGCGGCCCGCGTCCGGCGGGGCCGCCCCGCCGCCGCCGCCGGCGCAGCAGCAGCAGCATCAGCAGCAGCAGCAGGCGCCGCTGCCCGGCGGCGGCGCCGCGCACGTGTCGGCGCAGGCGCGCGCGCGCAGCTCGATGTGGAAGGAGCGCGCGCACCGCAGCTATGCGGCGGCTGACTATGCAAAGGCCGATGAGGAGTTCACGCAGGTGAGAGTTCACGCAGCTGCCCGTGCCCGCGCCCTGCGGGGCGCGGCGGAGGGGGGTGGTGCGGTGCGGGCCCGCCCGCCGCTCTGATCTCAAGCGCGGAAGCTGTCGCTCTGCGGAGCGTCAGCGCGGGGCCGGGCTATTCATTTTGAGCGTCGGCTTGGCTGCTGCTGCTGCCGTGGCTTGGGGTAGAGGGAAGAGCCTCGGGGGAACATGTCCAGGCTGTGCATACTCGTGTTTCGCTTTTTCACAATCATCCAGGCTGCCACGCCCAGAAGCCCTCCACCGCCATTGGCGTGAGTTTCATCATGACACACACAGCATATGTAGGTATATCAACGCGCAAACGGCCACACCTCACACCAACCGCCACCGCCGCCCCCGACCGACGCCGGACCCTCCCAGGCCATCGACGCGCTCACGCCGCTGGACCCTCAAGATGACGCGCTCCCGACGCTCTACAGCAACCGCTCCGGCGCGCGCCTGATGCTGCACCGCCCCCACGCCGCGCTCGCGGACGCGCGGCGCGGCGTCGCGGCGAGCAGGCGGAAGTTCGTGCGGGGGCACCTGCGGGAGGTGCGCGTCAGGGGTTAGGGTTCAAAGGTCGGGGCCGGGGACACCCGCGAACCCTAGACTCGCCAGTGAGGGCCGCTGGCACGCCGCGAGGGCGCTTCGGCCGTCTCTGGTATTGATTAATGGCATAACCCGGGGCCTGGTGCGCGGCTGTCCCAGCCCGCGCCTGGTGCGCGGCTGTCCCAGCCCGCGCCCCACGGAGCAACGCCGCCCCGCGCCCCTCCTGCCCCGCACACACCTGCCGCTGCCCACTCGCCTGCTGTGTACACGCAACACAGGCGACATGTCTTACGCGGCTGGGGCGCCTGCCCGAGGCCCAGGGGGTGCTGGACTGCCTGCTGGACTGCCTGGCGCCATCCAACTCGTCGTACCAGGTGTGTGCGTGCGCACATGTGTGTGTGTGTGTGAGAGAGAGAGAGAGAGAGAGAGAGAGAGAGAGAGAGAGAGAGAGGGTGTTTGTGTGTGTATGTGTGTAGAGAGAGGGGCAAAGAGACGGGAAGCGAGGCAGGAATAGGGAGGGGCCAGAATGAGAGAAAGAGAGAGAGAGAGTGTGTGTGTGTGTGAATTTGCATGCGCAGGTGTCGCATGGAGCCTTATACTGGCCTGGTTTGTGTTGAGGGACTATGTGCGGCCGGCTCCAGCAGTGGGACAGCCTTCTTGACGGGTTCGCATCAGCAGGGGCCTGGCACACACATGATAGCTCATCACACACCTACACACACACTCTCATTCATACATGCACACTGAAAACCATGTTCACACACCACACGCTGTTCTCTCTCCCACACGCACACATACCACACACACACGTACACACATACCACACGTACACACACACTTGCAGGAGGTCCTCAAGCGCCTTAACGAGGCCCAGCAGCTCTCCCGCCGCGTCACCCAATTCGAAAAAGACGTCCTCGGCGCCATCCCGCCACTGCCCCTCCCCTCGAACGGCGCGCTCACCTCCGCCGCCGCCACCCCTGCGGCGGCGGCCGACCCGGCGGTCGCACTGGCGCCGCTGCAGATGGGTGCGGAGGCGGCGCGTTTGCAGGCCGAGGCGGACGCGCTGACCAAGGAGGTCGCATTCTGCGGCCGCGTCCAGGCCGCGCGCGCGTGGCTGCTGCTGCGCGGCGGCGCGCTCGAGGCGCTCGCGGCGGGGCCGCTGACGCGCGCGCCGGACGGCGCGTCCGAAGCTGGAGAGGGCGGCGGCGGCGGCGGCGGCGGGGGGCAGGGGGCGTCGGACGCGGCGGCCGGCGGCAGCGACACGTTTGATTGGGAGTGGTGGGTCGCCGCGCAGGTGCAGTACCACCGCGGCGAC